GATGATCAGGTCCAAAAACCACAACCTCTTTCTTATCTGAGTTTAGAAGCAGAAAATTAAGAGTCATCCATGTTTTTATGTCATTAAGACATGCAGTTTAAGTAACTGGGTGGATTCATCAGGTGTCATGGATAAATATAACTGAGTATCATCAGCATAACAATGGAAATTTATCCCATGCTGTTTGATAACGTTGCCTAATGGAAACATATACAGTATAAAGTAAAGAGGATCGGTCCAAGAACTGAACCCTGAGGAACTCCATGACTAATTCTGGTGTAAGCAGAAGATTCATTATTAACATTAACAAACTGAAATCTATCAGTTAAGTAAGACAAACCATTTTAGAGCTGTTGCTGTAATCCCAATATCAAGTTAAAGTCTACGTAATAAAATATTGTGATCCATCCATTTTCTTCCACCTATCCGGCGTCGGGTCGTGGGGCAGCAGCTTCAGAAGGGAGGCCCAGGCCTCCCTCTCCCCAGCCACTTCTTCCAGCTCCTCCGGGGGAACTCCAAGGCGTTCCCAGGCCAGCCGTGAGACATAGTCCCTCCAGCGTGTCCTGGGTCTTCCTCGGGGCCTCCTCCTGATGGGACGTGTCCGGAACACCTCCCCAGGGAGTCATCCAGGAGGCATCCTTACCAGATGCCCGAGCCACCTCAACTGGCTCCTCTTGACGTGGAGGAGCAGCGGCTCTACTCTGAGTCCCTCCCGGATGACCGAGCTTCTCATCCTATCCCTAAGGGAGAGCCCAGCCAGTCTGCGGAGGAAACCCATTTCGGCCGCTTGTATCCGAGACCTCGTTCTTTCGGTCATGACCCAAAGYTCATGACCATAGATGAGGGTAGGGACATAGATCGACTGGTAAATTGAGAGCTTCACTTTTTGACTCAGCTCTCTCTTTACCACGATGGACCGGTACAGTGCCCGMTTTACAGCAGACGCTGCGCCAATCCGCCTGTCDATCTCCCGCTCCCTTCTTCCCCCATTCGTGAACAAGATCCCCAGATACTTAAACTCCTCCACTTGAGGCAGGACGACCCCCCTGACCCGGAGAAGGCACTCTACCCTTTTCCGGCTCAAAACCATGGCCTCGGATTTGGAGGCACTGAGCCTCATCCTGGCCGCTTCGCACTCGGCCGCGAACCGTTCCAGCGAGAGCTGCAGATCACGTTCCGATGAAGCCAAAAGGACCACATCATCCGCAAAAAGCAGAGRTGCGATCCTAAGGCCACCAAAACAGATCCCCTCAACACCTCAGCTGCGCCTAGAAATTCTGTCCATGAAAGTAATGAACAGAATCGGTGACAAAGGGCAGCCTTGGCGGAGTCCAACTCTCACCGGAAACGAGCCCGACTTACTGCCGGCAATGCGGACCAGACACTGACACCGGTTGTACAAGGACCTGACAGCCCGTGTCAAGGGACCCGGTACCCCATACTCCCGGAGAACCCCCCACAAGGCCCCCCTTGTGACACGGTCGAACGCCTTCTCCAAGTCCACAAAACATATATAGACCGGTTGGGCGAACTCCCATGTACCCTCCAGGACCCTGCTGAGGGTGTAGAGCTGGTCCAGTGTTCCACGACCAGGACGAAAACCACACTGCTCTTCCTGAATCCGAGGTTCGACTATCCGACTGACCCTCCTCTCCAGGACCCCTGAATAGACCTTACCAGGGAGGCTTAAGAGTGGGACCCCCCTGTAATTGGAGCACACCCTCCTGTCCCCCTTTTTAAACAGGGGGACCACCACCCCAGTCTGCCAATCCAGGGGGACTGCCCCCGATGTCCATGCGATATTGCAGAGTTGCGTGAGCCAACACAACCCTACAACATCCAGAGCCTTAAGGAACTCCGGGCGGATTTCATCCACCCCTGGGGCCCTGCCACCGAGGAGCTTTTTAACCACCTCGACGACCTCGCCCCCAGAGATTGGAGAGCCCAACCCAAAGTCCCCAGGCTCAGCTTCCTCAACAGAAGGCATGTTGGTGGGCCCACAACGTCCCGAGTTGAAGTCAGCAGCACACCATCCCCACTATAAACAGTGTTGGTGCTGCACTGCTTCCCCCTCCTGAGGCGCCGGATGGTGGACCAGAATTGCCTCGAAGCCGTGTGGAAATCTTTCTCCATGGCCTCTCCAAACTCCTCCCACGCCCGGGTTTTTGCCTCAGCGACCACCCGAGCTGCATGCCGCTCCGCCCGCCAGTACCCATCGGCTACTTCCCGAGTCCCATAGGCCAAAAATGCCCGATAGGACTCCTTCTTCAGCTTGACAGCATCCCTCACCGAAGGTGTCCACCAACGGGTTCGAGGGTTGCCGCCACGACAGGCACCGACAACCTTGTGGCCGCAGCTCCGATCAGCCGCCTCGGCAATGGAGGTACGGAACATGGTCCATTCAGACTCAATGACCCCACCTCCCCCAGAATGCGTTCGAAGTTCTGCCGGAGATGGGAGTTGAAGCTCCGTCTCACAGGGRACTCHGCCAGACGTTCCCAGCAGRCCCTCACTACACGTTTGGGCCTGCCAGGTCTGACCGGCTTCCTCCCCCACCACCGGAGCCAACTCACCACCAGGTGGTGGTCAGTGGACAGCTCCACGACATTTTCAGAACACCACTTGGAAACCCAGTGGTTAAATGATGACATACAACTAAATATGTCATCACTGGTCAGGTTAGAGAGAGGGCCATAGAAAACTACAGAGTCCGACACAGTCGTTGCAAAGTTACACACTGAAGTAACGTTGATTTTAGTAACCTCTGATTGGCGTAACTTCGTGTCATTACCACCAAATCACGAACTTACGGTACCTAGCATTAGCATTAGCCAGTAGATTCAGATAGGATTCTAAGTCGTCCGCTCTGGCTTCTGGAATGCATTTAGTCATGGTTGTTGGAGTCCCTAGATCAGGGGTGCCCAACCAGTCGCTCGCGGGTGACTCGTCGCCCGCCAGCTGATTCCCAGGTGCCCGCGCAGTGCAACCTTACTGCGGAGCCTCTAGCGCCGGCTTTGAGCATCGCATCCCAGAGTGGCTGGTCTTGTTTGAAAGCTCTGATCTGCCCTACAAGGTGAAAGTTGAATGAAGTCCCTGTGACGTTCCCCCGCGGAGCAATAAGCAAAAAACCTCCAAAATACGCAATGTCGGACCTCCCGCCAGGGTGATTTTAGCCCCCCTCCCAGGCTAGGAGCGTCGGAACCCGGAGTGGATGGTTGTGTTTTAAAGCCCTGGCTCTCCCCTACAAGGAGAAAGTTGAGTGGAGTCCCTGCGACGTTCCCCCGCGGAGATGTAATCAAAGATCCTCCAAAATTATGCACCGTCTGACCTCCGCCGGGGTTGGTTTTAGCCCCCCTCCCCAAGCTAGGAGCATCGGATCCCGGAGTGGCTGGTCGAGATTTAAAGCTCAGGTTCTGCCCTGCAAGCTGATACTTGAAAGGAGTCTCTGTAACGTTGCCCGGCAGAGGTATAAGCAAATCACGCACGACTTAGTGCATTTCACACGCATTTTCGGGAGGAAATTTCATCCTTCGTTTGCTTCACCCGTGGGCTCTCACCATCGGATCCGAGAAAGTGAGATGACTTCGGAAAGCTGGTCCTCCTCTACAAACTGGAGGTGGTTGCAAGTTCGTGGGACGTTCCCCCGCAGAGCTTTTAACCAACGACCGGCCGAAAAAGGCGCTTTGGCGGGTGATATAGTACTCAATTTACTCCGGAGCCTCTAGCGCCGACTCTGAGCATCGGATCCGGGCAGGAGATGGCTCATTTTAAAGCACTGGATCTCCGCTACAAATTGAAGGTGGCTGCAAGTTCCTGGGATATTACCACGTGGAGATATAAGTGATCAAAAGTCGTCGGGCGAGCTCCGGCGGGTGAAACGGCTGATTTCCAGCATGGGGCTACTTGTGCTGTTGCAGGGGAATAAAAGGAAGAGATCCAGTGAGGTGGAATCGTGGTCCTACGTCCAGTACCTGCTCTCCCGCCTGGATTCAGCCAGAAACCCCTGGCGGGTGATATTTCTGCAAAAATGCATAAAATTCAGAAGCCCACCTGATGGATCACTTCCAGACAATAAAAGGAACAGATTTGGTCAGGTGAAACCGGTCCTGGAAGCTCAGCACCGGATTTTATAACAGCCTGCCCCCTGAACCACTAGCAAGCAATATTTCTGCAATAATGCATAAAATTCAGAAACCCACCTGATGAGATCTGTTCCAGGCAATAAAAGGAACAGATCTGATCAGGTGAAACGGTTCTCAAAGCTCAGCATCGGGTTTTATAGCCGCCTGCGAGAGAGTTTTATATTGTGCGCTTTGACTTTGAAAAAAAAAAGGCGGCACTCTTGTGGTAGCCATGTTGACCCTGATAGATTTTTGTTTTGTTTTTCCTCCCCTGTATGGAGAGAAAAGAGGAGATTTCTTTGAATAAATGGAGCCAAGTTCCCGTGCTCCAAAGTTATTTGACTCTGTGGTTCTCAATGAGCATGTTTTCAGCCCTGGTGGCTCGCACGTTACAGGGAGTACTAATTGAAGGAGGTTAAAAAAAAGATCCTTTTTGTTCGAGCATCACTTTTATGTTTCTCTGTCAGGAGTTTAAGTATTTTATCTTTTCTTTTTTTGTAGGTAAATATATGGTTAAGTAGATAGTTTTGTTTAACAATACTTTAAATTAAATAAAACTAGCAACACTTTACGTTCTGTTTTATTTCCTTTAAAGAAGTGAGGGGTAGGTAGGGAGACAAAATTATGTTTTTTTGATACTGAGACTCTCGGCAAACTGCCAACTTCAAAAGTAGCTCTTGGTTCAAAAAAGGTTGGGCACCCCTGCTCTAGATCCACGTTTCGGACTATGGAGCAGCCAATAACCAGGGTCTGTTTCTCAGCTGGTATGTCGCTGATGGGGGAGAATTGATTAGAAATATCGACGTGTTGACGGTCGGTGAGTTTAGTTTTAGCACTGCATGATGACATGTTTAATCAGAAAACCTATCTCTATTTCAGACCTACCTGTTATCAGTGTGAGCCACATCAACCTGACAGTTGTTGAAGGTGATCGAGTAACTGTGATCTGTAATGGCTCTGGATTTCCCCTTCCTGAGGTGGACTGGCCTGTAAATGACTTACATTCTATAACTGCACAGGAGGTCTGTAGGATGCTCACACTCACATGACGAGAACAAGAACTATGTATCTATATGCATGTGTATGTATGTGTATGTTTGTGTGTATACATACATACATACATACATACATACATACATACATACATACATACATACATACATACATACATACATACATAC